GGATGACTTTCCAGTTGAAGGGAAGAGGTTGAGTTGAACCAGTTTCATACTGAGGCCAAAGATCCAAGCAAGGGAAGCGGTATATAAGTCTAGCTGCTATTGCTATTGTTTTCCTAGTACAATATTTATTAGCTATGATGTCTAATATAAGAAACATATCAGAGCTGGCTTTCACATATCTCAGTCCTACTAGTTCCTAAATTAATAATTGTTTAATATCTTTATCAATATATACATATTCCAAATGTTGTTATTAATAATATCAGTATTGAATGGTTCATGAAATAATTGCTTAATAATAGTTTTTCAATGTATTGAAATGTTGTTAGAAGATATTCTGTTTTATCTAATATGTAGACAGCTTGGCACCATTCATATAAAATTAAAACATATTAACAGGTTTCAGAAAACTGCAAAATTTGCAAGAGAAAAAAAGGGAAAAGTACATTAAAAAAAGATAATGCTGTAAATTAACGGAATATGTGAGATAGGCTCAAAGTGCAAATAAAACACAGGCAAAAATTGGCAATCAAAAAGAAACCAAGTAAAATAAGATATTGTTGGCAGATTGGAACTGTAAACAGAACCTGGTCCCACTATTTGGGCAGATTGTGACTTGTAATAAATAAACCGACTGGCTGTCAGTGGAAAACATGAATTATAAATTTTAAGTTAATTTAGAATGAGATTCAAGGGTTAATTTCTTTCTTGCAGTCCTGGACGTCCACCTGCCTGCTGTGATCATGAAATTATTATGATGAACCATGTGTACAAAGAAAGGTTTCCTAAGGTAATAAAGAATATAAATTGTATCTAGTGTTAATTTCACAAGAAAACCATATGGAAAAACAGTGTTCTTGTGTTCCAGATTAAAATAATCCCTAATAGCTTTGTTCTTTTAAATTCCAGAAAACTTTTGACTTTTATGTTAGTATTAAATTGTAAAAACATCCTTATTGACATAGCAGAAAAATGTATCTGGAATCAATAAGTCCATATATAGTGTATGTGTGTGTGTATGTATATATATACAATTCCTACTTTATAGGGTTATATTTTAAATATGGTTTTAATTTTTTTGTGTACCTTTATAGCTTTGTTATTAATATCAGATTAAGTTAAAAGTTTTGTTTATAATTTAAAATTATTTTTGGGGATTTTTTGCATTTGCTTTCATGCAAATTTTGATTTAGTAGCTTAAGTTCATTAATACCTTTATTAAGTCTATAAAACATATATTATACAGGCTACTGCTCAGATGGAAGAAAGGCTTCAAGAGATTATCACCAACCATTCTCCTGAGAACATCCTTCCCTTGGCAGATGGAGTGCTCAGCTTCACCCATCATCAGATCATTGAACTGGGCCGTGACTGCTTGGATAAATCTCATCAGGGTCTTATTACCTCACGATATTTCTTTGAATTACAACACAAATTGGATAAGCTCCTACAAGAGGTATAATCAGTTAAGGTTTCATAAATTTATAAGCAAAGTTTATTTATTTATTTTGTGCCTTCAAGTCACTGCTTACTTCTGGACTAGTCCCTGCTGTTTTCTAGGCAAGTTTTTCCCCCAGACGTAAACAGAAATTTTTTGGGCAGTAGATATTGATTCCATTACAGTTTTTCAAGGTCTTTCTTTGGCATGGAATCATCGTCAATTGCTCTGTTACTTAATATTCTTTAGATGTTTAAAATGTATGAGTAAAATGCATGAAGGTTTCATAATTTTGGAAGTACTTTGCATATCAGTGTATTTGACAGATTGGAATAATTGTTTCTGTGTTTTATAGACAAATGAGTCTATGTTATCCATTCTAGTACAATCTAAATAACTATTGTGAAAAAAATACGGTTTTACGTGGTAAATCGGCAAGGAGAAACAAATATTTAAATAATGCTTTAGTTTTTACCTAATGCTTTATTATTCAGTGGAATGATTTTGATATTCTTAATTTATGGATAAGTTTACCATTGATTCTCAAGCACATTTATAAACAGTATCTTTAGAATCAAATGGCACTTTTATGGTTTTCATTTATGTATCCTCTATTTTCTGTCTGATTTACTGCGTTTCTCAACCATGTAGTCTTGTAGGAAAGCCTGCTGTTTTTGGAACTAGACTGTGGGAATACAGTTTAGTATTTTGGTGATGCATTTCAGTCAGTCCCCAGCTGTGACATTCAGTAGATGGCTGTGTCCCCTGCTGCTTGGCACATTGTGATTGCAATGCAGGGCCTAGGGAAGTCACAAGGCATCTGAACAGTTTTGTTTAGCTGACATTTTAGGAGTTCTGAGGTCAAGGTTAACTGAGTTTTATTGCTGGCATTTTTTTCACTTCACAAAAGCTTTGTTTATAGTTTCACCTAGTGTTTCATTTGATACAGATAGTAATATATTAGATATGTAGCATTTAGTAGACAGATATCTCTGACATTTTGACAAAATGATGTATCTATTTCTTGTATTATTATAATTTATTAATGCTTGGAAAAGCTGAATTAAAAACTAATTAAATCTATTCAAAATCTGTTGTTATTTGTATCTTAATTATAAATATTTACAATTTTTTAATGCATGAACTATACCGGGGGTAGTCAACCTTTTTTATACCTACCGCCCACTTTTGTATCTCTGTTAGTAGTAAAATTTTCTAACCGCCCACCAGTTCCACAGTAATGGTGAT